GAGTGAAAAATTTCTGTTGGTATAAAATTGCTGTAATGCAGTGGCTTTTCGGGCTTAGCGCATCAAAACTGTCGTTTATAACAATACGAAAACAAACTGCCGCATTTGTATCATTTTCTAGGAGTTCTAACAACTAAAAATTGACTCAGTTGAAACTATTTAACATTTAAAAAAATCTTACTTTTTCGGTCCAACTGTTCGCCGTTGTGTGGTTTCGCATTACTAAAGCTTTAGTAACCCACGATATCGTGGTTAAGTCGGTTTGATTTTTGTTAATTCTGTCCAAACACAATGGTAACTTATCCTCATCACACTTATTGATAATATTTGCCAAAAGTTGAGCTGCCGTACTTTTAATAAAATTATCACTCTCTCGAGTAATCAGGGCAGAAAGATCGTCCACTACTCTATAATCGATTTCTACATCTCTCCTTAAATTACAAAGGAGTCCATCTAAGAGGAAAACGCGCCTTCCACTAACTAAATCGACTCTAGATAGTTCTTTGATAATCTCAGTTTGTCTTTGACTGCTCTGTTTCCCGATTATCGATTTCAGGATAAAATCTACATCCTGTAAACATTTTATCTCCGCGTTATTTTCATTAAGCAAACTCCAGTCAATAAGATACAAGACCTAATTACCTGTTAATTTTGCTGTCAAACTTAATATTCGTATTAATACTCCCTCTGCCTTTATTTTTACTACTATTACTAATAATTATATTAATTATAATAATACTGATAATAATTATAATAATAATAGTGCCTGTAGTAATAAAATTAAACGATGAATATAATAACTATTAAAAATAAATAGCAGTTTGAGGTTTACACATATTTATAAACTGCGACTAATATAAACCTTATAGACATGTCTATAAGGTTAACCCCTTATTACAAAGGGTATTAGGATTAAATACTTAAAAAAACTAGCCTTGACTGTAGCAAGCCCATCTTTTTTAATAATAAAAATAAAAAAGCCTAAGGCCTAGATATAATTTTAACTAATACATAAATCCTAACGAGCGTTCTTAAGTCCTTTCTTTAAATTATAGCCTGGCTGTAATAAAGTCAACGTTTTTTGTTTTACCTATGCTTTTTTGTTTTAAACTATATATTTTTATATAACCCTATGTACATATTTATTTTTATTCTATTTGTTACTTGCACACCATACATTAATATATTGCTTGCATAAAACAATATTTAACAACAATGCAACTATTCCTCAGTAAATGGTGTGCCAAAGAAGCTTACGTCACTCCACGTGGAAGGCTAATACTGGCTTTTAAGCTCGAACATTTCACTTACTAAATCATTTTCGAATTTTATTGTTATTATTATTATTATTATTAAAATGGCCATAAAATTTAAAAAAAAAAGTACTGTCGACAGTTATATAAGTAATACTAATTTACCTTGGAAATCATTAGTTGTTCCAGAACATAATTTTGGTTTAGAAAGTGTTGTAGGGTTAGATGAATTATCTGATTATGAAGTTAATGAAAATACGGGTCAAATACTCCGTAGTATCATTGAAAGAGAAAAAGTTGAAAAAGATAAAAAATTAAAAAGTCTTAAGAAAAGGAGACTTAAATTTACTATTGTTGAGGAAAATGCAAGAATGCATGATGGTTTTGAGAAGATTTACTTTAATAATTCCGTTACCGAAAACACTGAGTTGTCTTGCATTAATAGCACTATGTTTAATGACTTGCATTTTCAAAATGAAATAGAACACGGTTAATTTAATTATTATATATTATTACGTACTTTCTTATATAAAGCTTGTAACTTTAGTAAATAAACTTTGGTGTTTATTTTTAGAGATGGCTTTATGGTTACCTTTTGGCCTCCATCCTGTGATTATAAGAAACTTATACTTATTGGGTTTTAAAGCTCCCACAGAGATCCAGAATCTGACACTTACAGCCGCTCTTTTAAAACAAAGTGATATTATGGGAGCCGCTGAAACGGTTTTCCTTGATAAGTCTATACGAAAGCTCTTTTGCACAGTTCACTACCAGGAATAACAATACTAAATGTATAATTTAGGGCTCAGGAAAAACTTTAGCTTACGGTTTAGCTGTTCTCAACGACTTACTTTACTTTATGGAGGTAACTATAGACTTTATATTAACTCTATAATAAAAATTAATATTTGAAGAAGTCTTCACTTAAAGAACAAGAAACACGACTTTTATCTTTAATATTGGCACCGACAAGAGAACTAACACAGCAAGTTGATTCTATTAAAATAAAGAATTTGAACATTACTTTAATGCTTTGCATTTTAGGTTTATAATCATTTAACATCTGTTATGAAAGGGACCAGTCTGAGAGTAAAAGTTTTAGAGTTTATAGCGTTTTCTATGAAAATTAAGCTGAACACTGTAGATGATGCTGATAGTAGGTGGGCTTGCAAAGGAAAAGCAGGCACGTCTTCTCTCCCGTAAGCCTCATATTATAGTTGCTACGCCTGGACGACTGTGGGAGTTTATCGATTCAGTAATATAAATTTATAGAGGAGCACCATAATTATTATAATTATTATTATTCTGCTGACAGAGTGAGCCTCACGTTAGCGATTTGACGGGTCTACGTCATCTTGTAATTGACGAAGCCGATCGCATGGCAACTCCCGGCTGCTATAAAGAGCTCGCTTTCATTCTCAATCGTTTACCTGTGAATAAGTAATATATGTAGTTGTATTTTTTTTTAATATAATTTGTACGCTGTTTATTTCTCAGCACATAATAGAGCTTTTTGATGAAAGCAACACTACCGCTTTACTTACTTTTAAAAACTTTTATAAATTAGAATTTTTAATAATAGTTTATAAAGCAGACTTGGAAATGTAAAAAAATTTTCACTAGACAACTACAGCCAAAAACATAAAAAGCTTAAAGCCGAAGTGGACTACTGCCCTTCTACAGGCTCATGTTAAACTTATGATCTGCCCCTTTATCTATAGGGTCTCAAGTTGGTTTCTCTGCAGACGAACGAAGAACTTATTTGTTCAGCGCCACGTTGACTCGTGAATCCACTAAAATACGATATAAAAGTATGAACAAAGTGGAAGGCGTAGTCTCTACATTGGGTACTTTTATTGTTATTTTTTTATAATTTTATTTCTATTATTTATTATTAGAATCGGTAAAAAAATTAATAAATTTACGTCCAAACTGTGAAGTGATCGACCTTTCCAGCGGGTTGGGTAAAGTGTTATTATAATTGAAATTTTCATATATTACATATGAACTTGAATATTATTATTTATTCAGGTGTCGCGCTTGCACTGAGCGAAGCGAAAATTACGTGTTTAAAAGAAGAAAAAGTATATTATTATTTTATTATTATTATTACTATTATTATTATTTATAGGATATTTACCTCTATTACTTGCATTTGAAGCATCCTGGAAGAACACTTGTATTTTGCAATAGCATTGATTGCCTAAAGCATGTCAGTTCTCTAATGAAAGTTTTAAAAGTAAATTATCTTAAATTTCATTGGTTTATACATTATTAATATCATTACCTTTTGACATTAATATTTATTATTATATTATATTTATTTAATGTTTTGTCTATTCTCTTCTGCTTGTTTTTTATTGGTTACCTTTATTAAAGTTTATTCGTTTATTAAATCGTTGAGTCATATATATATTTTTTATACTTTTATTATTGTTATTTCAAAATCATTAATTATTTTGTGAATTCACACTTATTTGTCTTTCATTAGTTATTGATTATAAATTTGATTTAAATCAAGTTTATTGATTTACTAAATTGTTTATTAAATTTTTGGTTCATTAATTTTAAATTATATATTAATATTATTTAAGTTCATTAATTCATTTATTTCTTACTATATTTTTATATTTTATTATTCGTCATTAAAATTTTTTTGGATTTTTATATTTCCTTATTCGCTATTTTTTTACCGTTTCAGTTGTTATAATTATATATTTACTTGTTATTATGTTTATAGTTTAGCGTTATGTGGCCGACTTTTTATATTGTTATGAATCAATAAAACTTTAAGCTGTGCAGTAAAAATGCAAGCGCCCAACTTTTTTTACACTAATGATATTGCTTTGTTATATTTATATGTTAGTACATTTTTAAAGATTGTTTGCCATATGTTGTAACCAATGACATTTATTTATTCTTTGAAACTTTGTTGGCCGCCTCTCATCGTTTTTAATGCAAGTTTCAGTTATTTTCTTTTATAGCGCCTTTTTATATATATTATTTTGATGGTCCGTTTATTAACATTTTGGTCCTTTTTTCGTTGGTTAGAATTGTAATCCATTGTTTTTCATGTGGATTATATTGGACTGTAACAAACATTTTGATTTGCTGAAATCTTAAAGTTTTTTTAATGCTTTCGATATTTAGCATAAATTATGACTTATCCTATTTTTTGAGGGGTTTTTTTTACTTTTTTAGTTGAATTTTGTTATTTAGTATATTTAATTTTTATTTGCCCGAGAAAAAAGCTAACATTTTGATTGGTTGATGCATTTTTCTGACTGCCTAAAGATTAGCCTTTTTTCAATAGCACATCTACTTAAAATTACATTCAATCTTTTGTATTAATTTCTTTATATTTATATTTACTAAAATAAACATAAAGATATAAAGTTCCTAAAAAAATATATAAAAGAAGGTAAAACTTGACATATATGAAAAAATTTAGAACTTTAAAAGTAGTTTTTTTTTTGGGGGGGGTGGGGGGGGGATAAATCAAATGACGTGAGTTTTAAAAAAAATTATGGTTCGGCTGTATGAGAATGTTCCCGAGTATTATCTACGTTGTTAAAGTAATTAGCTATTACTTTCAAAGAAGCCCTGAAGGTGTTATAATGACTATTGCTTTATATAATTCAGTATAATTATAAAATTTAACAGAATTTGTTTTTTTATAGACTTTTTTGTATAAGTTTTTCAAAAAAATTTATGCACTCTTGATATTATTATAAGAAGGTATACTAATAAACATGATGACGGTTTATTTTATAAGGAAACGCTGAACTTTTTTTAACGTTCTTTATAAATACAGTAGCTCCGCGAATGCGTTTTTTTGGATGATAAGTACTCTCATTCACCAACTGCGCTCGTATGCAACCCGGTTTTCTTATTAGAGCAAAACTTTTTAAAAAAAACGCACGTGTGGGCGAACTTCTCTCATTATACTCCCGAGTCATCGAGTCTTTCGTTGGCCGTAAGAAACCCGGCAAAATTATGGCGATGTTGATTAGTTCTTTATTTTATTTTTTTAGCTTTCAATTTTCTTAGGAATTTTTTTTCATGAAAGTGCTAAACTATAACTTATACTATTAATATTGTTAATATTATTATTGAAAAATACACAACCTTAAGCAATGGAAATTACATGTGCGCTCACGCTTTTAACGCGAGTTATATTTTTTTTAGGGGACTGTTGGTGTCACTTTATATGAACCAAGTGTCGTTATTATTTTCTGTTGTTTTTGGTTTCTATAATATTAATATATACATATCTTGTTTATATTAATATTTTTTTTTATTTATTAAATTTTTAGATGCTTGTGGTAAAAATAATGATCTTATAAAACTTTAACATTTGTTATTGGTAGAGTTTTCTGCTTTTATATTTTTCATTGGGCAAAAGTTTACTTTTGTGGAATAATTATTGAGATATGTAAAAAAAACTTCTATTAGCTGAGTTTCTGTTATTTGTAGTTTTTATTGGACAATTTCACTTTGCATTGTTTTAGTGAAAAAATCATTTTTAATGAGTTTTATTCCTCTCTTGTTTTTCATTGGATAGAAGTATAGTAAAGTAATACTTTTTTATGTTCCTTTTTATGTAATATTATTGAGAATATGCATTTGCAAAGTATTTTTTGGCCATCTTTTGTAGTTTCATTGGACGAAGCTCATTTTTAATAATTTTTAATGAAAACAATTTTTAATGAGCACGTTTTTATTTTTTTTATTAAACTTAAGTTTTTTTTGAAATTTTTGGTGATATATTTTTGATGAGTATATTTTTGCAAATTGAAAAAAGAATTTTTAGTAATTTTTATAAAAGAAGTTTTTTTACATAATTTTTTTTAAATGCTTTTTTATAAATTATTAATGGTTATAGTAAAATATTTAATAAAAACCTTAACAATTATATTATTAGTGATTATGTTTTTTTTATAGCGAATGTTTATTTTTATTGTAAAAACTTTATATAAAATTTTTATCATTTATAATTTCATTATTTGTTAATATCTATCATGATATTATTATTAAGACATACATTTTTTAAGTTTTTATTTTGATATTACATATATAAGTTTTTGTGGCGATATTATATATATATATTATTATTGATTGTTTATTATTGTTCTATTATTAAATCTTATTATTTTGTTTTATACCTTTTTTTTTTCTTTTATATTGTTCTACGCTTTATTATGAAAGCAGCACTTTACTTTTTATTATAATAGTATCAATAATTATTGTATTAAAAGTAAAAGTTTTAAAGTTTATGAGGGGGACTATAATAAATAAATATTTTAATTATAATATTTTCATTCAATTTTTATTTAGTATTATTAATAAATTTATATAATTTTATTTTTTTTGTTCAGTATTATTAATAAATTTACTTTACAATTATTTTTAGCTCAACTGTTTATGTTAATTTTTTTTTACACTTCCCTTTCGATTTTTTTATATGGTCGTCATTATATTTACTTATATTTTTCTTTTTACCAGGGTAACTATTCATATAGAAAAACTTATAACCTTTTTTTTTTGATTTATTATTATTATTATTATTATTTCCACTGTCAGATAGTAACTTATCCACTTCATGCCAACATGCCTCAACGGCAGCGCCTTAAAAATCTTGACCGTTTTAAAAGGTGCCAAACTTGTTTACTTGTAGCCACTGACGTTGCTGCGCGTGGTTCTTTAATTATTATTAATTATTATTATTATTATTATTATTATTATTATTATTATTATTATTATTATTATTATTATTATTATTATTATTATTATTATTATTATTATTATTATTATTATTATTATTATTATTATTATTATTATTATTAAAGTTCTATTATATATAATATATATCAGGTTTGGATATAAAAGGTGTCGAACACGTTATTCATTACCAACTTCCACGCTCAACAGAGGTCCTTATCTTTGATAATAATATTAATTTCACAAATATAATTATAGTGAATTTTTTATATATTTTTTTTTAGCTGAAAAGAGAAAGAATTTGTTAAACTTATTAATTTATCTTTAATATTATTGGCCCCAAATTTTTTATTACGTTAATATTGGTTCATTTGTTTTTTTTTTATATATTTATAATTCTTTTATTAACTTTTTACACTATATTTTTTTAGCTGTTTATTATTTTGTTATAGATATTATTATTTATTATTACTATTAAATAAACATACAGCTTTACATACACCGAAGCGGGAGAACTGCACGAGCAAATTCTGAAGGCCTCAGTTTAATGCTAATTAGCCCTGAAGAGATCCCAAAATACAAAATGATTTGTAGGGAACTTAAAAAAGGTAAGTGCTTGGTAATTGTTGGTAGATTTATTTAATGATTGGCTAAGAAATATATAGTTTTCAAATTAATATTTTTGAAAATGGCAAAGAAGAGCTGCTAATAGTGAAATTTGTAGCAAACTTATTATGAAACTTTAGTTTATTTTAGTAATAAATTAATTTATATTTCGGCAAACCTTTAGGTTAATTTCGTTAGCTAATCTGATTCCTTATTTTTTCATATTTTTAACTCTTTTCGATTCGTCTGTACTTATTCATAATAATTATGTTATGTAGATTCGGACTACGAGGAGTTTCCGGTTGACTCGAGTTACTTTCCATTGGTTCAGAAAAGAATAAAAATTGTTTGTTTTTTAATGATTTTTTAATTTTTTGGAAAAAAAAATTCATTACAAAGAAAAACTTAAGATATGCACATTAATTTCTGTTTTATAGCATATTCATATATACTTAAGAGCATACAATTATTATTAATTTAAAAAATTATAATGAAATCCTTTTTTTATATAATTATTATTTTTTTTCTTTCTCTATTTTATAAACTTTATAAAATATAATTAATTTAATTTTTTTTTGTAACTCTAATTATTGATAGAAAAGTTTAATGCTATTTTTTTTATTCTTGTTTACTTTATTATTATTAGAGAATGAAAATATTTTTATTATATTATTAAAAAAAAGGTTTAATTTTTTTAATACTTTTAATTTATTATTAAAATATTTACACAATATATTGTTTCGAGAATATTAATATATAATATTAACTCTTATTATTCTTGAAAAAAACGAAAAGAATTATTATTTTTCTTAAATTGTAGAATAAGGTTTTATAAAATATATTTTTTTTAAATATCGTTTAAAAAAATAATAATACTTGATTTATAAAGGAATATTCTTACTAACAACTAATTTTATTAAAATTTTATTTATATTATTTATATTTATAAGAAAGAAAAGTTAAATGTCAACATTTTTATAAATATTTCTTGTTCATTTCTGGAACCAATCAATTTTGTTTTATTTTTGTATATTTTTGTATTGATGATAATTATCCAATGCACGTTTATTATTAATATCTTACTTTTTGCTGCCTCTTTACCTCTCAACTATTATATTAATATTATTTTTGGTATTTTTTATTAATGAAAAAGTATTATTATCATTATTATTATTATAATTATTATTACTATTACTACTATTATTATTATTAATTCTTATTATAGGCAAGAAAACTTGAAACTCTCCTATTTACTTTCCAAAAAAAACAAAAGGAAAAGTTTTGGCTCCAGAAAGCTGCAAAAGACTTGGAACATGATATTAACGATGAGTTCGTTGTACATAAAATAAATTTTAATTATTATTTATTTATTTATTATTACTATTAATTAGAGATTCTGAGGAAAGCCTCGTCAAAAATAATTATGAAGTTCAAAAGTTCGAAGTAACTAACCTTTTTTGATTTTGCTTATACAAATAGACTTCTAATTTTTTTTATTTTTATAATAATTTTGGGCGGACAAATGTGAAATAAATTTATTTTAATGATTTTTTGTTTTTAAAAAATTTTATGGGGCCGCCATTCTTTTACCTTTAATATGAATTTATGATTTCTTTATTTATTAGTTTTTCTATTATTATTATTAAGTTATTTATATATACTATTATATTATAATTTTACTAATTAGCCTTATTTTTTGTTATTATTTTAATTATTGCGTTATTTATTTTAATTTTTTACAATTTTATTATTGTTATAATTTAATAAACATTTTGTTGATAAACCTTTTTTTACTACATAATTGATTTTATTTAATAATTACTTTTTTTTTTAAGTCTTTATTTACTGCACTATTTTCAAGTTCTCAATGAATTTATTTATATTTATTATATCTTTAAATTATTAATATTTATAATATTGATTTCTTACTTGTTATTTCAATTTTTTTACTTGAATTTTTTTATTTTTTCATGTTATTTTTTTTTTATAATAAATTATTATATAATTTGCCTTGCTTGAATTATTTTCTTTCTTTTTATGATTATTTTTTCCCAATTATTAATAAATTTTTTTCTTTAATTTTCTTCTAACTTTTTTCAATCAATTTAATTATTCTTTTTAATATTTTTTGTATTGTTATTATAAATTATTTTTACTTAAATCTCCAATTTATTTTTTGTAAAATTTTTATTTTTATAAACTACTATTTAAATATTATTTTTTTTATTTTTTTTTATTTTATTATAATTTTTTTTATTTTCCTGGAAATTTTTTATTCATTATTTTATTATTTTAGTATTTTACTATAATTTTTATTATTACTATTCATTTTTTTATTTTTATTAGTTATCCTTATTTTTTATTTATTTATTATTATAATCTTAAATTTAAAATTTCTGATACTCCTACTTTGCAAACATGTGTTCATATAGTAAATTTATTTATTAAAAATTTTTTTTATAATAAACTTTCTGGAAATCCTTTATATTTACTCTAATAACTTTTGTTAATTATTTAATTTTTTTTTTAAATATTATATTTAGTTTTGTAAAAATATAATTTTAATTTTTATCGGCCTTAAAAAAAATTATTTAAAACTTTTCTTCAACTTTTTATTAACTAGTATACCAAATAATTTTTAATTTAATTTATTTTTTTTATTGTTTCACTAAATTTATAATTATTATTTATAATTTTTTTACTATAATATTTTTATATTCTCAACTTTTTTTTATTAATATATATGTTTTACTTTTTTTATTATATTATATTAATATTGTTTTTATATATTATTATTTATTCTTATTATTTATTTTCTGTTATTATTATTTATAAATAAATGCTAACACTTTGTATTAATTTTGATATATAATATTTATATTTTAAAGAAAGAATGGTTTATATAAAAAGATTTATACTGCGTTGCGGCGTACTTACAATAATATACGTAAACTTTACTATTTTTATTATTTACTGTCCAGCTACAAAGCAAACTTGACACTTTACTAGAAAAACCTTTAGTCCCGCCGCACGTGGCTCGCCATCGTCATAATTACCAATTACTTGTAGATTCGAATTTATCAAAAGGTTTTATTATTATTATAGTTGTTATTATTACTATTATTACTTAAAAAAGATTCAGAAGTTTCAGCTGTTGAGATTGTGAAGAAAAAAATCAATTCCAGAACGCATAAAATATTAAATTGTGTTTAATAAAATGAAATTTTTATTTATTTTTGGTTTTTAATTTTTAAAGTTCAGCGGGGATTCGTTGATTTTACAGGTCGGAATTCCTCGAGAAGTGAATATAAAACAATACGTTATATAGTATAATGATAAGATATACAATGACTTTATATTATATGTGGTCGAAGAACTAAATCACTGTGGAAATTTATTCGATAATAGTGAACTCCCTAGCAGCATTAAACCATCCTTACAAAACTAAGCACAAGAGATTTGAAAAAATAGTAGCAGCGCGTGCAGGGGCTGCATTTATATAAGTAAAAAAAGAATTTTTCAGGGAAGTTGTACACGTATTGGCATCGACGGGACTCGAACCCGCGACCTTGAGAATGCCCGACAATGCTCTAACCACTAAGCTATTGTGACAATTTACAATTTATGGTCGAGAAACTACATATACAATCGTTAAAGCACATGCAGCCCTCAATTCCTCATACTATAAACCTTTGTTAAAACAGTTATGATCTATTTAAAAAAAGACCCTTTACTGTTTGAATTTCTTGCACATAAAGTCCTCCAGATTGAACTTCTAGGTAACGTTTACCGACGTAATGCTATCGCCATCTACGATCGACTCAATTCCTACACCATTCGATTACTGACAGATGAAATCAACCACGAAATCTGGGCCGGCGCACGCTATCGCCGACCGCACATGCACTCCAACAAGATTTTAAACCCATAAAAATTTTAGGCATTTTTTATTAAAAAAAGTATTTAATTCAATATCCAATCAACAGTAATATATGAATTAATCTAGACATTTTAATTTAGTGGTATATTAAACTCAAAAGAACTAACCTCCTTGATTAATCTAATTATCTCTTTGTCTCCTTGTTTTGTTTTTTAATTTTATTTCTTTATTATTAATTTTTATTCAAACTTATACATACTTTTTTTATTTTTATCAAAATCCTAATAGACTTTAAATATATAATATGGGCTAGGGGTAGAATTTATATATATATATGAGATTGCTTAAACACAAGCTTAAAGCTAATATGTACGCTATCACCTTGTTGAGAGCTCGTAAATTCGGTGTTTTCTTTTACGACTCGGTCGAACACCAGGAAATATCATTAATAAAAAAATGATTTCCTGAGTAGAAAATTTATAATAATAGATATATTATTATTCATGCTTCGCTAAATTGTGGGTGTCTGGCTATTGCTTAGATTTTTTCGTGACCTAGAAGATTTGTAAAGCCGTAAAAACATTAAATTATTATTGGAGATTTTATTACTTTTTGCAATAATTAACAAAGGTCACTGAATTGAGTTCTTCGTTGAATTGTTAAATTTAATACTTTTTACTCTCTTTAAAGTTTTATAGCAAACTTATGTGTAAAGCAGTTTAAGGAAGTGCTCAAAATATTTTAGGTTTAGGGTTTTATTTAAATTTAAATAAATGTGTGAAAAAAGTAAAAGTTTCAAAAAAATATATTTAAAATTTAATATAAAAAACTAAACAGTATAGGCCCTTTGAACTTGACATAAAAAAGGCAGTTCAAACAAATGCTCCAGATTTATGTTCTAAAACTTGATATATAAAAATAAGTTTTACTTATAATATTTTTTAAGCCTTCAATCAATTTTTTTAAAAATAAAAAATGAAAATCTCACAACCAATAAATAAAGAAAAATTTAAAATTATTTGCCAGTGAATTATTTTTAAGTTTTTTCTAGAAAATGCATATTTATATTACTAAAAAATATTTAAAAATTCAAAATAAAATGTTAAACTTTGCTTAAAAATCTACAAAGCCTTAAATAATTTTTTCAATAAACAATTCAAAATCAACTTTTTCTATTCCTTTTTAATGTTTCGTAGCAAACTTTATACAAGTAAAGGAGCTCAATCATACTTTCTTTAACGGTTTTGACGAACATAACAATTGCTTAGAAAACTTACTATAAGTTAAAGTTAAATAGAGTTTAAAAAACTTTTCTTCATTTATTGCGTTAACTTTTTTTTTTAAAATGTTGATGTACGAAATTCTATTATCTTTTTGCTAAATTTATCTTTAGACTCAAAATTTACAATTAGCTTGCTTTTTTTAAAGAAACACACGAACTTTTATTCTCTTTCGGGATCGTAACAATAAGTTTTACCAGTTTTATAATGACTTTTTTGAAATTTAATAAAGTTGGCTCCAGAGTTGCAATAGTATATTTATCAAGAGTTATAGGCTATAAAGCTAAATTTCATTATAATTCGTTTTGTTAAGTAGAAAACCCATGCAGTTTCTCTCCTGATTATTACTGTGACAGACTTAGAAAAACTGTGAAGGTCTTAAAAATTTATGAAAAGATTAGAAAAATTGTGCTTACATTTTTTTAGAAGCCTATTTGAAAACTAAGGTGATTATATAAAAGTTATTATGCTGAAAAAAAAAACCTTAACCTTTAAAAAAACCCAAAGATTATATTTTTTGCATTTAAAAAGTGTACTAGGCGCATGAGCGCACGCTAAGCAATAAATTTAGCTATTGTTACTCGCTTACTGCGTTATTTTGCGCAAAAAAGAAGTGCATAAATCTGATATATAGTTCTAAAAAAAAATTTCTACATAGAAACTTGATAAATAGTACAAAATCTTTTCTTTGACTTATAATAAAGTATAATAAAACTTTTTTGGTTTAATTTTGAACTTCGTAGTCTGCCGTTCTGTGAGCCGTTTCCGTTTTATATTGAAAGTCCCTCATGAAACTGCAAAATTACATCAATTTTCAGTTCGTAATTTTTTTTTTCCTACCAAAATATTGAAAAGCATATAAACTTGTAGTTAGTCAATTTTTAATTATATTCACAAAAAATATTAAAAAAAACAGAGGATTTCGCCCGAAAGAAAATCTTATAATTATAAAAAACTAATTTTGATAATTCTTCACGGAAATTATGTAAATGTTAATTGCAATAAAAAAATTTTTATTTTTTCAGTTTTCTACGGTGAGTTAAGCCAAATATTTCTAATCTGTTCAGCACTCATAAACAAAACATATACAATAGCAGGCACCCTGCGTCGAGAAACGGGGGGCCGCTTTTCATTGGATCACTTTAATAAGTTTTTTTTTCCTGATAGGTCTAAAAACAGTTATTGGCCACTATTAACAATTTAAAAAAATCACAAAATTTTAATTGTGAAAGTAAAATCTTTTTAATTTTATTAAAAATATTAAGCACTCGAAAATAACAATATCTTTAAGAGAATATGTAATACCGCAATTCATAAATATATTTTTAGTTCAACAAATTGCTGAAGAGTACTTCAAAAATTAAATGCATTTTATATAGTAAAGCAGAAAAGAAATTTAAGTGGTAATAAAACTGATTACATTAGCAAATATAAAAATCTTGATAATAATAATAATTATTTTATGAGAAATAATTATTAATTAATATTTAGTAAAGCACAAAAGAAATTTATAATAGGTGTAACAAAATTAAATACATTGACAAATAAAAAATATCAATATTAATTTTTATTTTTACTTATATAATAATTTAATAATTTTTATTCCAATAGTAAAATTTAAATATTCAAAAAATTAAAGCATTATCTTACTAACAAAAAGCACAATTATTATAGTGCGTTAATAATTTTTTTATAATAGCAAATGAAGTATTAAAGTAATTTTTATATAGATAGGTATAAAGCTCTTCATTATGAAGAGCGCATTTACACTTTTAACTTATATATATTATTTTAAATTTATTATTTATATAATAAGTAATAACACAGAAAATAAAAAGTATTAATAAAAACGTGAAAAACTTAAGGGAAATAAAAATTTATAAAAAATAAATTACTTTTTTTATTTTTCTTTTAACAGTTTTTCTTTGTTTTGCACGATTTCTTCATCAATAATATTCATTACGCCGAGAATATTCGCTAATTGTCTTGAAAATCTTTTTTATTTATATTATACAAATTTATAAAACGTTTATTAGTTCAGAAAAGTTAAATAATAATAAAATTTAAATTAACCAAAAAAATTTTATAAAAAAAAATGATTTAAAAAAATTTTATCATAAAATAATTTAGTAAAGTAAAAATAAAATTTTATTTATACTATAAAATTATCTACAAATTTACTTTACAATAATATAGTAAAAATAAAAATTATAATTTAAATTATTATAAGAAAAATTAAAATAATTTTTTGATTATAAATTTCGATTTGTATTTGTTTAACTAAAAACAGTTAAAAAAATAAATAAATTTAGTAATTAGTTTATAATTTACTATAAAATTTAAGTTTACAATTACAATGTTATATAAAATAATATGAATAATTATATATATTTAAAGTTATAAAATCTATTTTATAATATATAAAAAATAAATAATAACTTCAAAATTTTATATTTTTAATAAATAATTACTATAAATTAAATTTATTTAACATCGAAATTTAAAAATTTAGTTTTTACTAAAAATAAATGCAAATCATTTTTATAAAAAACAAATTAACATAAAATTATTAAACTTATTAAATTATATATTTATAAATTTATTATAATTTTTAAATATATTTTTAATGTATAATAAAGTAAAGAATAGTTTTCGTTAATAAAAAATTATAATAATTTAAGAAATTAAATAAAAAAATAAATAATAATTATTATAACTTCATCACGTGTATAAATTAAAAATTAATTCAAAAATTGAACGCTACTGAAAATTTCCTTTTCAATAAACCTTAAAAGTTTTTTGTTATACTGACATTCAGGAACATGTACTTAAAAATTTTTAGAATTAAGTTTTTTATATAACAAAATCTTTATAAAAAATCCCAAGCTAAATAAAAAATTAAATAAAAAAATTCGTATAATATTAATAAAAGTAAGACTTACTAATAATTCTAAAATGAAAACCTTAAAAAACTTAAATTTATTTTTATTAATAATAAAAATAAATTAAATTATTAATTATTTTTAATTATCAATCTTTTTTAAATAAGCATAACAAAGATATAACAAAAACTATAATTATATATATAGAAATTATTACTTTTCATTATGCAATAAAACTTGTCGCGCGACAGCTTCATTTTCAGAAAGGAGATTCTAAAAATAATTTATAATATTTTTATCTATAACTTAATATATATATATATAATTTAAAAAAAAGTTTTAAATAGTAAACAATATGCTTGATATTTTTTTTTTAAAAAAGATTAGTTTTTCGGAGGTTTTCTGACATAATCTCTTATAATAATGAATAAATATGAGAAGGTATATTAAAATATTTAAATTTCCGTAGTTTGTGAAAATAATCTTAAAAAAATAAAAATTTAAACTTTAATTAAATAAAAAACGTTTTTAAAACATAATTGCCGATAAATCCAAACGCTTCTGTAAAAACCTTTAAAGTACATAAAATATATAAAATTATTAACAACTTATCTAATGTATTTTTAATAACTTTAAAAAACAATAAATAATAAAAAAAGTAAAAATTAAAATTATATTCTTCGATATTGTGTAATTAAATTTTTTTAATTGAAAAACTATAAAACCACTTTTCAAATTTATTAAACCTTCATTTCTAGCATCAATTGAAAAGTATCTTCAGCGTTCAACGAGTCCAAATCAAACTGCTGAGCAATTTCTTTAACAACAACGTGAGAGGATTCAAAAACTTCGCCGGCCGGTTGTTCCAAGTAGGGATTAATTTGTGATGGATTTTGAGAATTTACGTGACTAGCTTGATTGTAATCCTTAAGAAAGAAATCAACAAGGCTGTTAACTTAAACGACATTAATCTTTATACCGTCGCAAATGGTTTAAAGTTTGAAGAAAAACTATTTATTACTCCTGAATCGTCGAGAGGAGAACGAGAATAATGAGGTAAAAGATAGTTTTGATACTCTGGAGGGCGGAAAGAATCAAAATATGGCTGGGTATTTCCTAAAATATAGGCTGGATATTGAATATCTACACTTGAAGATTCCGAAGAAAAGTTATCTAATAAAGCTACTGAGATTCTTTGTCCGTTAATTTCACAACCGTTTAAATTTTGAATTGCAGTGTGACACATTGAAGACTGGTTTATATAAAAGTAGCTTTATTTAGTTTATATTAAAATAACAAATAATACCTCCAAGTATTCACAAAGGGCATATTGTGTATGATTACGGGGATCATTATGAAGACTAAAAATATATATATAAACTTTGATTCTTGAATAAATTATTAACTCACAATTACTTTAAAGAAAGTACAACTCCCATTTTAGTTAAAATATCTTTAAGTTCCAAATGTGGCAAATTCTGGGGCAGATTACTAACTTTACATATATATTTTCAATATATATGTAATATATGAAAGCTAAAGCAATATATGTTACAGAGATAATACCATAAATAATATTCATGCTCAGCTGACAAAAATATAAACAAGTATTGCAGGAAAACGCCTTAAGTATTCCACTCTTAAAGCATCAGTTCATTCGATAAGCGATACACTTGAAAAATCTCTTGCTCCTCCTTTCCCTCATGTGTATCTCATCGTTAGCCTTTCGTCTTCTTTTGAGGGATATTTTTTACGTATTAAAAATTCTATTCTTTGCTTTTTATAACGTAAATACTACAATTAATTCATACAAAAACTCTAGTCACTTTTTGTTTCCAGCTATTAAGAGGCAGGCTTGAGTGCTTTCAATGTTCATCTACCAAAGTAGTATTATATCTGCGTTGGGAAGTTAAGATTAACGAAGAAAACACACCGGTATTTTCTCCCACCAATCATTAATTCGGTGAAAATACGGGGCCTTCTGAAGATGGTTCCCGCCATATTTGAAGGTTACTTTATCAAGGACACTATTATCGGTCTTTAATAACACCTGCCACAAGGTAATTAGTGCTCCTCACTTTAAAAAGGTAATCAGCAAGTGTACAGTACTACTGAAGGAGCATAAAGACTGTACTAAAGTACTGAATATGAAAGCGGGGAAAACTTAAAACTATATTATAGACTTTTATGTGTAAAATATTAATTAATTAAGAAGCTTGAAACATTGCAATAATCCATTTGTATAGCCTAACTTCTTGGAAGAAAAACTTGCACTTTGTATAATTTATTATAAAAGAATAAAAAATAATTGCCCTAAAGACCCATTTTAGTGCATCTCTACCCCCTTTAACCAACAATAACTGCGCTTTAAACAATTTGTGGAAAACCTTGGAGATCATCGTTAGTGTCTTTACGTACAAGTACGACCCATTAGTTAGCCCCCACATCCAATGTTCCTACAGTTGTCTAAACATGAAATGTTCAAACAGATGAAGCATATGCTTTAGCGTATCCAACCCCTCTGAGCCCTGTTACCTTAGATGAAAAGATCCCAGTTTATAACTTATAACGCAAACCGCCATTTTTAGGCAATTCTTATGATATTTTTAAAGTTTGTTTTACCTCTCAGTTATTAGCATATAAAGGAAATTTGCTTAAAAAATGAACAAGAGGACTCCTTCCTTCTGGAGAAAGCTCATAGTCGGGGAGGCCTAGCGGGCAGCGGTGCTGGCCGATGTCTCCAGGTGACCTCGAATCTTGTGCCTCTAAGGCTTGCCCTTCTTCCGGCTGTGGTTTTTAGCGGATTTCCATCACACTTGGCCAGATGGCGGGAGTGGGGGCCAGATATTTCCCGCTTTTTCAGTCCTTCGGTGGAGTCACTATAGCTCTATGAAGCGCGTACGCTAGTGGGCACTCGTGCTCCAACCCCTGCAGAAGAGGGGAATTCAGATTAAGCGGCTTAAGGTCATAAGAAGACCGGCCGTAGTATACCAATTAAAAAAAAAATTAAAAAAACGAAAATAAACAAGCGGTCGCATTAATTTATATCCGCGTTTTCGTCTTAGCCATGTCCATAAATTTTTACTTTTATATGGGTTTGTGTACAGTTAATTTTTTAAAGCTTAAAGGTTTAATACCAACGTTCAAAGGTGTAAATACCCTAACACAGTACTATAAAATGATACTTATAGAATAGTCTATTATCTTTTCGCTTTAGATTATCGTCCACTTTTTGGCGAAGTGAGAAGGCTAGCGAGCACAAACTTAAAAAATCACATTTATTTATAATTAAGATAGTGTAAAGTCCTTTAAACAGAGGATTACTAAAATATTTTATTAAAGCGAGGAACGAGGACTTAGTTGGATTTATAGATGGGACTTTATCGATGGAGAGACAAAGTTTGAAGAAAATAGCGACAAAAGCTAAGTTTCAAGAGTGCACGTTAAACACTTTTAAAAATTGTTATAGTTTAATAAAGATCCTTGTATTTGGTTTATTAGAATAGGACTTAATTTTAGATGATTAGACGGTGGTATCAGGCAACCCCACAAGTTTTTGTTAGGACTCGATCTTAATAATTGATGTCCTGCACTACTTAGATAGACGCTCGGTTTGTGGCGTGGCGGAAAGTCTAAAAGGCTTTAAAGAAGGGCTAACATCCCCGGTATTCAATTATGTTAGTTCCTTTATGGTTAAGAGCTTATTGTAGCCCTTCAAAGTCTTAAACTCTGTTTCATCTCTTAGTATATCCGCATTTTTCTAGCTTCTAAACCTTAAATTATTTAAATTAGGTCACTGTTCGAGTCTTTATCTTTATAGAAACAACACGATATTTGGATTGCAACGGAGAAGACTTGGAAGAAGAAAAAAATACGATCTGTATAACGATGAGTAAGGTTATAACTTGCCAAAGCTTAGAGTAATGATAACCACAGAAGGACCTACTAGAAGGAAAAAGTCTTTTACTAGTTATAACTATGATAACATATCCCTATTATTTTTACTCTGCATTTATAAAAGTAAGTTAAAAGTCGTAAAGGTTTTTCTATACTTTTTTTCCTAATTCCACAACACTGACATAGGCTCTACAGTTTATATATAACATTATTGAACTACGCCCACTGAGATATTACTTTACACCCGAATATAAAAAGTTAGGTAGAAAGCGCAGTATACAAACAAACATATACTAATCTTAAAAAGCATCCAAACGCATAATCTAATTTTATATCGCCGTAATTGATTTTAATTAGTGCAAGTAGCGCGTTAAGCGTGTGTTTTCTAAGTATATAAGTGTTGTAAACAGCCTTTCCAGTTTACAAGATCTAATTGCTATAAAGAGGTCCATTTTTTACAAAACTGAGATATCTACTGAAAATGTAGGTTTTCATCTTTTATTTATTACCGTGAATATAATGCAGAGGCTTATCTATAGAAAGGTTAGGTAATTCAACAAAATCAATGGATATATTATACTTGTAGACCGTTATCTTGCTTAATTATTAATGCATCTAATGAATTATACTTGCATAGTATAAAAAAAAAATTGTAAATAGTTTTAAAGTTGCGTTTTATGAAATGCCTTTTTTATAATTTGCATTCACAAAAATATAGTTTAACAAATTTAATATTGCATTGATGGTTTACGAACTCTTAAAAAATCTGTTTTAGGTACACACATAAACTTAGTACATTTCGATTTATTAAATTATTACATAAATTAAGCAAGCAATAATGTTATTTGTCGAGTTTAATCGCAACTCCAAAAGAGAACACCAGGCTTGAAAGTTCACATATTCGCCCCTAGTATTACAAAAAAAATAATTTTATTTTCCAAACGTTTATAAATTAAGTGTTCATTTTGTGTAATAAGCGACGTGTTTCTTGCGCAAAGCTAGGAAAGTAAAAAAAAGTTAGTAGCAGTCCATTCCATCTAACACTTATTGTTTATTTTATTAATAAAACTCTAGCGTGTACTGTAATGGATCTATAATAATAGACTGATAATAGTACTTCCAAACAGCTCTACATCCTAAAGCATAAACAATTAGAAATATAATCACTAATAAGAGTAAATCGTTTTTTTCCTATACAAAAAGTAGTTAACCTTTCTCTATTAAGTTTTATGTAGGAATATATATATAGTACAATTTTGGTTACTAAAGGCGTTGACAGTCATCTCACTATATACAAAAAAGAGGATATTTTAGAAAAATAAACCTATATTCAAATTTAATATATTAAACAAGCTTTGTATATAAGACGATTAAGAGAAGACTAGAACTTTTCCTTTTGCTTTGGCCGCTGTTATGCTCCGCTCCTACTTTTTGTGTCCCTTTTATTAACGCAATATCTTAAAAAAGGTTGCCTTGATTGTTGTCAGGGACCTTTCCATGTCTCAATATCGTAAGTGACGTATAGCTAACAATAAATTTTGTGTATTTTTAAAATGTATAGCTTAGAGAGGTATGAGAACGAGTTCTGTTAGGACAATCTTGTTAACAGTCAGCTCATAGGTAGAACTTTAATCCCTTACCCGCCTTCGCTATCTTTTTCCTCTTAGTCGCTTCTGCTTTATAAACTCTCTATTTGCTAGTGTTAGCTCCGCAATTAATATTACTCTCTCATATATGTAAACTATGGGAATTAATAAAAGCGTTTTAGAAAATGTAAATTACTAACCTTCCACCTTTTGGAGAAAAAGTTGATCCTAATGTATCAAAAATGTAATATTTTAGATTCAAATTATAAAAGCATGTTATAATACTTATATATATTTTATAGCTCTCTTCTCGGAAACAAATTTAGTGGAATCACTACAAGTATATTCGATGTCTAGCTTACCTACTGAGCTTGTGAGTTTACGTATCTATTTTTACAATCATTTTTAATTATATTAACAATGAAACGTTGAGAGCGTTTTTATTAAAAATACATTTATACTTGTATAATTTAAATTTTTAGCTTCAGAGCTGCTCTTTATAGCCTTATAGCTTCGGTATTGTTACAATTTACTTATTATACCAGGCAACTTGACATTAATAAATTTAATACCATTGAAGACAATTCAATTATCGGACTAAATATTTTAAAGAAATAAAAGTTGAATAATTATAAGTTACTTTAAGTTTGGTACTTCGTTGTACTTGAAGCATGTTATAT